CCCCCGGCCCCCCTGAACAACCCTGTGACCCGGTCGCAGGGCGAACCTTTCAGTCCACCCATCCCTTCGAAGGGCTCGTGTCGAAGTCGTTAAATTTGTCCGAGAGTTCCAACCACAACTTGTTCTGAAGTTCTTGAAACAGAAGTTCAGCAGTGGAATCGATGGCCGGGTCGGCGGGTTGAAGGTCGGGATTCACAGACCTCACTGTGTCGACCACCGAACTTCTCACATGTTCCAGGTACTCGGCCTTCGACTGGCGCGGGTATGGCTCCCACAACCCTTGGTCGTTGATGAGGGTCATGACCCACTCGCCCTTCTGGATTGCCGACTGGATAGTTCCTTGGTGCCAAATCATGTCATGGCCCCAGTCCGCCTCGCTTGATCGAGTGTGGTTGAGCCTTTTGAAGTGAACGGTATCATCCTTGTGAGAAGGATGATACAGTGGAACATAACTCCCAGAATGCAATAGAGGCGGGGTGGCAGGCCGAGGCGTCAGTCTCGCCGCCAGCTTACTCGGGGTCTTACCTGGGGTGAACGTGAGCACACGTGATGCTTGGGTGGTCAGGCTTGTTGAGGGACCGGCCGACGAGGAGCCTGGGGCATGAAACACCGGAGCAGGATGGTGATCGATGTCGATGTCCTCGGTGTCGTGGTACTCCTCCGGGGTAGCCCTGTTGAAAACAATGCCTGTCTCCGCCTCGTCGTTCGTGGAGATCAAGGCAACATAACTCTTAAGCTTCAACACGTGCTCGGACTCGACGAAGTACAAACACTGCAGCTGGTCGAGGAAGTTCTTTGCGTTATTGCGTAAGGCATCGTGGTAGTTGTCCAGCAACACTAACATGTGTTCCTTGCGGCGCATGTGCTCAGCGTCGACATCCCTCCTGGGCCGCGTTTCCAAAAAGAGGAACTCGTAGATCTTGTTCCTCTTCCGCTCGCTCAACTTGAACCACATGTCCGTAAACGATTCCCGAACGCGTGTCAGTTTCTCGCTCGTTGAAATAAACTTGCATCATTTGGCTCCAGAGTTGACCTCGCTTTTGAGGAACTCCAATGTGTATTGCAACAACTTAGAATTCCCTTCCAACGCGACCACGTGTCGGCCGCTCTTCAAATACTCCCACATGACTCGCGTGTGCGGCTTGCCAAGGAACATGACGCCGTTCCTCTTTTTGCATAAAAATTCCAGCAGATGGGCCAATTATGTGGGGTTCTGTTCCATCTCCTTGTAGACCTTCCTATCAACTCCAGCTATGGCCCACGGCCACTCGCAAAATGGTTAACAGGTACCCCCACTTTTCACCCTTAGGGTAACCTTGCCCACCCTGAAAAGTGTTGTGGGGATCATGTTTTTTTTTTTTGTTTTTTTTTTGGTTGACGTTTGAATGTGCCAAGTTTGGTGTTGTTGGGTTCCTGGAGATGGTTGTTTTGGGGAGTGGTGAAAATTGTGAAAATCGACAAATTGAAATGTTGGTGAAATTTCATGAAAGTGCACTTTTGACTTGCTGTTTTATATGGTTTTATTTTTTTTTTTCGGTTTTGTTTAACAATAAGTTAGTAAGAAGTGCACTCTATAGATTGGTGTTAAATATGGTTAAAATGACCCTTTGGTTTTCTTATAAATGGGGGTGAAAATTTGCGGGTCGGTTAACCTTTTGTCAAGTTGTTCCCCACTGGAAAACTTTTCTTGTGCTACGTCCTTCTGACCCACTTCCCTGCCATTGCCTTGACAACGGGCAGATGGCGCAGGCTGGTCATGAAGGAGTACTCCCACTGCCGAGGGACAAAAGCGACGTCCGTCCAGTGTGACGGAAACAATTGCTCTAGGAGGGAATTCAAACTCTCGAAAGCTTCCGGCGTCCACTGTTTGAAGCCCACCAGCTCGCACAGATTGAGAACGCACGTGTGACATTTGGTGGTCCCAACCGCTTTCTCCAACTCCATGACGGTCACCCTCATCCGCGCCTCTAGAGGGTCAACGCCGAACGGGGCGATGGATGTCACGTCCCTCGAGTCTTTTCCACAGAACGTGCACCACACCTTCGGCAAGCGCGACCTCCATACTCTTCCCCCTATTGCCAGTCAACATGGAGAAGACCTTGTTCTTCCAGTTGGCGGACAACTTCTTGTTGAGGGCGAGTTTTTCCGTCGCCTTAAACCACTAGCACCTTTCTCACGTGGGAAAATAGGGAAAACTGACTGTTTTCCCAACTTTTCGGAGGTCGGGCCCGACAACGACTGACATTGATAAATCTGATCGGCGACCGTCGTTTCGTTTCGGCCTCTGAAGAGGTCGGATGCCTACCCGAGGCCCGCAAGTTTCCCAAGCGGCAAAGGTACTAGTGGTTTAATCATCTTGCCGTCCTCGCACCCCATGAACGACGGACAGTCCTTGAACAGTGAGGCATCACCGACGAGCTTCCTGCTTTCCACAATGCGCCATCCATTCCGTGCTTCTCGAACTCCACCAAAATAGCCTCCCGTTTCTTCAGGAAGGGATACGCACGTGTCTAGTCCGTATCCGGCCAGTTCTTTTGCATGAACTGGTGGTAGTTCCATAATCTCACCAAGATGCGATCACACTTCAGCAGGTGCACTGCTTCCTGTACTCCCAGCTTCCCTTGCTTCGCTAATGAAGCAGAGTTTGTCTGCACCCACACGACCTCGCAGTTGAGAACCTTCTTGAGCAACCGACATTTCTCGTTATCCGTAAGGGTTTCCATGCTCTTCCACAAGTGTGGATCCGGCTCGGTGACGTGGACGAACCAATCAGCTGGCTCTTTCTCCTTCTTGCCTTTCTTTTGGGGTGCCTCGACGAGGACGTCGTAAACTACTTCCTTTCGCCCCAACTTATTGTTTTCAATGCGGCTGACGCTGGGCCTGACGTTTTTCACTTTCTTTTTCTTTGTGATCCACTTCGCCCCTCGGGTGCCAGAAGTTTCCTCGTCTATCATTTCTCGAAGAATTTCATACCTAGGTCCCACGCGTTTTTTCCGGTCATCACCAGCGGAAAATAAGAACGAAGGGTAGCGTTCTACTTCTTAATATTGTCCTCGCCCTTCTCATCAGCGAGAATCCACAAGTGGTTGTAAGGAGTCTTGTGAAGCCTTTGTGCACAAAA